CCACACACACACCCTCTGAGAACATCCCGCCCACCAGCAGGGAGGGCTCGGCCCGCTCACCTTGGTGGTCATGACCAGCTCGTGATACACGATGTAGTCTGGAGTGTAGCCCATGCCAAAGAGAGAGCTGGTGGGGTGCAGGTGGCAGGGCATGCCGGTGCGGATGTTCACATACTCCCCGATGCCCTGTGGAAAGAGCCGGGTTAGCACAGCCCCGGCCTGCACCCTGCCCCTCCCGCGGCCTGCACCCTGCCCGGCCCGCGGCCTGCACCCTGCCCCTCCCGCGGCCTGCACCCTGCCCCTCCCGCCCTTCACCTTCAGCTTGGCAGCCTGGTGGAAGTAGGCGGCACAAATGCACTTCCTGACGATGTCCCAGTCTGAGCCGCAGGACGCCAGGCTCATGCGCTGCTGCACCATGATGTCCTTCAACTGGGCACGCACCTCCCGCACCTGCAACAGCACATGCCTGTCAGAGGCCTGCCCCACTTCGGAGGCCTGACCCATTTCAGAGGCTCCACCCTCTGCCCCCTCCAGGCCCTGCCTCCCAGCACAGCCCCACCTTCCTCATGGCCTTGGCGTGGATGAAGTGCTGGTTACACCACAGCATGGAGTAGCTGTTGTTTTTCCACTGCAGGTAAACGTTCAGGTAGGTCAGGTGATCGCTCTCCGGCACAGCAAACTTCTCCCGCACCTGGTCACTCTCTTCCTCCCGGCCCTAGGTGGGAGCAGGGGGCGCAGGGTTAAGGCTGGAGGGGAGGGATTGCCCCCTCCCAGCCCGCACCCGAGGAGAGGACGGGCAGCAGCACGCACCTTGGGCCGGTAGAAGATGGCGGGCACAGAGAGCATGGAGACGATGAGCAGGATCTCGGAGCTGCAGCCCATGTCACAGGAGACAATGAGCATCTTGGAGAGCGCCGGATCCAGCGGGAACTCCACCATCAGGCGCCCTGTTGAGGTCAGGCCACCTGCCAGAGCAACACAGGAGCCGGTAGCAAGGCAAGCTCCCAGCGCCCCCTACTCCCCCCCCGCCCCCCGAGCCCCCTCCCTGAATCCCCCAGCACTCCCCTCCCTCCTTACCCGTGTTGTCCATGGCTCCCAAGATCCACAGCTGGTACATGGAGTTCAGCATGTTGTCCTCGGGGGGCGGGTCCATGAAGTGGAACTGCAGCAGGTCCTGCACGCCCAGAGACTTGAGCAGCAGCACCACGTTGGCCAGGTTGGTGCGCTGGATCTCAGGCACCGTGGTGGTCAGCAGCTCATTCTTGTAGGCGCTCTGGGTGTAGAGCCTGGGGAACCGATGCCGTGAGCGCCAGCCCCTCAGATAGCACCACTTCCCCAGAGCTCAGAGCCTCCTGCCCAGCCACAGCGAGCGGGGAGCTCTCTAGAGCAGGGATCCTGGGCGCAGGAGCTGCAGCTCCAGCTTGCCCTGCTTTGGGGCAGGGAGCGGACCCTGCACACACCCCCAGCAACAGTGCAGGAGAGGCTGGGTGCACAAGGAGACGCCATCGCTGCAGCCGAGGGGGCCGAGGCAGCTGGCTCTGCACCTGCTGCTCCCTGTGGTGCAGTCGGGACATCCCTGACATGGGAGCACCCCCTCCAAGCTGGGGCACTTTGGGGTGTGCACACAGTTCAGACTCGCCTGAGCTCCAGGACCCTTCCCACGGAGCAGCTAGAGTCAAGCCAACTGAGGGGAAGCAGCTGCTGTGTCCACAGCTCAGCACCCAAGGGGTTAATGCTGCAGCGAGGCGCCTACCTGAAGCACTGACCTGGGCCCGTCCGGCCAGCGCGACCCGACCTCTGGTTGGCGTTGGCTTGGCTGATGGGGTAGATCTGCAGGGCGTCCATCCCTATGCGGGGGTTGAAGACCTGGCGGGGCAGGCAAGGAGCAGTCAGACAGGGTGGGGGGTGCCGGGCAGGGCCCAAAAGGCGGCTACGCAGCAGCTCCAGGGAGCAGGGATCCGCCACCGGCCCTCGCCTCACCTTCAGCTTGCAGTAGCCGGAGTCAATGACAAACATGATGCCGTCCACAGTCAGCGAGGTCTCCGCAATGTTGGTGGCGACAATGCATTTCCTGACACCATCCGGAGCCTGCAACACACCAGGTGTCAGCGCCCTGAGGGGCTAGCAGCCCCCCGCTCCCGACGGACAGTGCCCCCCAGGGATGCAGACAAGGAGTGCCAGGATCAGCGCCCCCCGGGGAGCGGTGGGTCCCTGGCTTTTACCTTCTGCACAGTCAGACATCAGGTGCCCCCACAGCAGGCCCTGCCCTGGCCAGTCCCACGCCCAGCAGCCGCTGCTCCCCTCCCCCAGGAGACCCTGCCACGTGCTACCTTCTGGAAGATCTTGGCCTGCAGGTCAGAGGGCAGCTGAGAGTAGATGGGCAGCACAGCCAGAGCTGGGGCCTTTTCCAGTTCCTCCAGATGCTCCACGATCTGCTCCGAGGCCACCTGGGGACAGAGAGGGGAGTGAAAGCAAGAAAAGGCACAAGGGCCCGGGGGGGGCGGAGAGGAGGGCCCTAGCGCCGCCAGGTCCCGGGGAGGGATGGGGGGGGGGGGGCCTAGCGTTACAGGCACACTGAGGTCACCTCGATGTCCTCCTGGCCCGGCATGAAGATAAGGATGTCTCCAGGGGCCCCAGACAGATGCACCTGCAGGGCCTGCTTCACCGCAGCCTCCACGTAGTCCTCCTGCGGGGTCTGAAAGGCAGAGAGCAGTTCGAGGGGGCCTGGCTCCCCACAGCCCAACTCCCCCCCATGCACAGGACCCATCACACAGCACATCCACCTCCACCCCTGCGCGGCCAGCCCTGCCCAGACCCCTCTCCCCCCACGCCCGCCCTGGGCACCTTGCTGAACAGGACATCCACAGGGAAGGTGCGGCCAGGAATGTGGAAGATGGGAACGTTCCCAAAGAAGGAGGCAAACTTCTCTGCGTCCATGGTGGCCGAGGTGACGATGAGCTTCAGGTCTGCGCGCCGCGCCACCACCTGGAGAGACAGATTGCAAGGGCAGCAGGGGGCAGGGCCCAGGCCACTCCTCCCCCCCACACACTGCGAGGGCA